CATCCCAGCATCTGGAGCATCCTGGGTCCAGAGCATCCCAGCACCCTGAGTGCCCTGGCTTCAGTGCATCCCTAGTATCTGAAGTATCCTGGGATCCAGAGCATCGCTGGTGTCAGGATTATCCTGGAGTCTGGAGTGTTTCCAACATCTGAAGTACCCAGAGCACCCTGGGGTCCAGTTTATTCCCTGGTCCAGTGCATCCAGAGCATCAGAGCACCCCTGGCATCTTCAGCATCCCAGCATCCCGAGCTCCCCTGTGTCCAGAGCATCCCGAGGACCCAGAGGCCGTGTCCGGGGCCACCCCAGCGCCGGGGACTGGCAGGGAGGAGGAGAGGGAGGAGATGCTGGCTGTGAGTACTGGGGAGGGGAACCCTGCTCCTGCTGCCCGGCTCCCGGGGACAGCACTCTGCCCTGCCCGGCAGTGAAGAGGGAGAGGGGGGGAAGAGAGGGAGAGGAGGAGGAGGAAAAGGAGAGGAGGAAGGAGGACGGCCACGGAGAGGAGACGCAGAGTTGGAACTTCTTCCCCTGGAGCTGGCGATGATCACCTAGCGCCGGTGAGAGCTGGAGAAGCTCCCCCAGCTCCCGAGCCCCCCCTGCCCCCCAGCTCCTCATGGAGGGCGCCCCGGGGGCCCCCAACGCCAGCGCCCTGGGGGAGCGCTCGCTGCTGGCGGGGAGCACTGGGTGGCCTCTTTCCTCTCCTTCATCATCCTCCTGACGGCGGCGGGGAACTTCCTCCTCATCCTCCTCATCCTCACCCAGCGCTCCCTCCGCAACACCTCCAACTACTTCCTGGTGTCCCTCTTCATGTCCGACCTGATGGTGGGGCTGGTGGTCATGCCCCCGGCCATGCTCAACCAGCTCTACGGCCGCTGGGTGCTGCAGGGGGACTTCTGCTCCCTCTGGTCCTCCTTCGACGTCATGTGCTGCAGCGCCTCCATCCTCAACCTCTGCGTCATCAGCCTGGACCGCTACCTGCTCATCATCTCCCCCCTCAAATACAAGCTGCGCATGACCTCCTGCAGAGCCCTGGGGCTCATCCTGGCCGCCTGGACCTTGGCCGCCCTGGCCTCCTTCCTGCCCATCAAGATGGGTTGGCACGAGCTGGAGTTTGAGGTCGCCTCCCCGAACGTCACCTCCCGGGGGGAGGAGGACCAGTGCAGGCTGCTGGTCAGCTTGCCCTACGCCCTGGTGGCCTCCTGCCTCACCTTCTTCCTCCCGTCCGCCGCCATCTCCTTCACCTACTGCCGCATCCTCCTGGCCGCCCGCAAGCAGGCCGTGCAGGTGGCTTCTCTCACCTCCAGCGTGGCCACCACCACCGCCCACGAGACCACGCCGCAGGTAAGGTGGCCACGGGGACGTTGCTCCTTGTAGACCCTCAGGATTTGGGGCGTTTCCACCTCTGGGACGGCCTCAGGGTTGGAGCTGGCAAAGGGCTTCAACAACCGGGCTGCAGGGAGGGAGATTTCGGGTGACATCCGCCTCCCTGATGTCCCTGAGGGTGCCCTGAGTCTTGTCCCAGTGGTGATGTGCTTTTGAGCAGCTCAGGAAACAGCATGAGCAGAAGCAGAGAAATAAATTAAGACACGGGGAAAACAGCTCAAAATAAAAGCAGCTTCACCCCCTCTCGGCTGGCGTCATCCAGGGGGTTTCATCTCACCTGGCTTTCCACTCGTAAATCTTGGTGGGTGTGAGACAGACGGGGGAGAGGGAGTTTAAATCAAATGCCAAATTCTGGCGAGTACCTTATTTTGAACAACCAGCTTCTGTTTTTGTTCACCTGGGCTATAATGGGAACAGCAAAACACCTCCTGGCTGAAACCCGCCCCTGTGGGTTTTAGAACCAAAACGTGGCTGCGCTTGTTTGTGTTTCTCTGGGAGAAGGTAATTGCCACTAAATCTAACAGCTTTAATTCCCTGTAATAGGCTTTATTGACCTCATATCCTACAGGGAAAAGACAAACTTAATTGCCTTTAAAAACCTTCATTTAGCCCGTTGCTCTCTCTCTCCTTTGAGAAGGGAGCCAGGAATCCCCGACCCGCCAGCTCTCCCCACGGGACAGGATGCACCAGACTCTCAAAAGGAAAATGAGAATTAAAAAATAAATGAACAATATCATAAAATGTTGGTTTTTCTCCCCGGATGCCAGGGGTTTGGACTCTCCAGACACAACCCGTGCAGCCCCGTGGCCCCAGCGCTGCCCCGTTCAGGCACTGGGGGATGTTGGGGTGCTTTGCTCAGCCAGGAAAAACCAGCGTCCACCCCCCCAGATGCCCCCAGTGTCCCCCACAGGTCCCTGGGGGTTCCTGGGTTTGGGGTGAGCTGAAAACGAGGAACCCCCAGGGTTGGTCTTTTTAACCAGGTCTCCGTCATCTTTTGGGGCAGGAAGCTGAGTGGCAAAGGGGCCTCGTTGCATTGCGGCGGGGGCTGAGATAAGAACTTCAGTTTAGATTGCAGGAGGGGATGGAGGACGGAGGCAGCGATGGGGTTGGGAAGATGAAACATCTTCACATCCCACTTTTAAAAATGGAATTAATTTGCTGCTCTAAGGAGCAGCCAGAGCTGCCACTCCAGAACATGCTCTCTCCACTCCAGAACATGCTCTCTCCACTCCAGAACATGCTCTCTCCACTCCAGGGCATGCTCTCTCCACTCCAGAACATGCTTTCTCCACTCCAGGGCATGCTCTCTCCACTCCAGGGCATGCTCTCTCCACTCCAGAACATGCTTTCTCCACTCCAGAACGTGCTTTCTCCACTCCAGAACGTGCTTTCTCAGCTCCAGAACATGCTCTCTCCACTCCAGAACATGCTCTCTCCACTCCAGAACATGCTCTCTCCACTCCAGGGCATGCTTTCTCCACTCCAGAACGTGCTCTCTCCACTCCAGAACATGCTCTCTCCACTCCAGAACATGCTCTCTCCACTCCAGAACATGCTTTCTCCACTCCAGGGCATGCTCTCTCCACTCCAGAACATGCTCTCTCCACTCCAGAACATGCTCTCTCCACTCCAGAACATGCTTTCTCCACTCCAGGGCACTCTTTCTCCACTCCAGGCCATACTTTTTCCTCACCAAAACACGGCCCGAGTTGGATTTTTCTGTAAAACAACCATCTTAATGATAAACCCCCTGTTTGACAGCTAAAAACCCAAGGGATTCCTTTCAGTGCCGCGGGTTTCTGTCTCCTCCTCTTCCCGACGCGGGGCCGGGGGCTGCGGCCTGTGCCATCCCCTCGCCCCGTGCCAGGAGGGAGATGGCAGAGGGGTTTTTTGGCAGGATTTGTGGCAGCCAAGGCCGCTCTCCTCGGCCTGGTGCTGTTTTGGGCAGGTCCAGCAGCGTTTGCTCAGCGCCCCGTGTCCCGCAGGGTCCCCACGCCCCGAGCCAGCCCGCGGCCGGCAGCCAGGGCAGGAGGTTCGCCAACAAGCACAGCAAGAAGGCACTGAAGGCCAGCCTGACGCTGGGCATCCTCCTGGCGGCAGCGAGGGCAGGAGGTTCACCAACAAGCACAGCAAGAAGGCACTGAAGGCCAGCCTGACGCTGGGCATCCTCCTGGGCATGTTCTTCGTGGCCTGGCTCCCCTTCTTCATCACCAACATGACGCAGGTAGCGGCGCCTGGGGGTTTTCTGTTGGGTTCTTAAAAGGTTTTCCCTGTGAATTCACCCGGGCTCAGCCTTAGGCACCGGCGGGTCTTTGCCTCTGAGCAAAGGTGAAATTTGCCCCCCGGGGAGGAATGCCAAGAGGAAAGGCTTCAAAAGGGTTTTGGGGGGTTGCTTTGAGAGGGAGGCGTTGGGATGAGCGGGAAGGTGAGGTGGGAGAGGTGGGGGAGGTGGGAGAGGTGGGAGAGGTGGGA